GAGCAAATTGATGAATTCGTAGAGAAAATCAAGTCTATCAAAGAAATTGGAAATTGCTCAAGAATGACAACAGAAATAATATGACACAATGCACAGAGCAATAGAAGTTGAAATTGGTGATTTTGTATTTTTAAAAGTCAGACCAATAAAAGGTATAGTCACATTTGGTCATGGGAGAAAGTAGAGTTTCAGGTACATTGGTCCAGTTGCTTATAAGCTAGTTTTACCTACTAATATGTCAGATATATATGATGTGATTCAATGTTGAGAAAAAGAGTTTCAAATTTGGACCGAAGGATTTTACATAAATACATTGAAGTACAGAAAAAATCCTAACATATATTAAAGAACCAGAAAGTATTTTAGAAATAGATGTTAAGAAGTTGAAGAACAGACAAATTCATCTTCTCAAAATAAAGTGAAAGCATGTGAAAAAAATTTCCCTTACTGTTCAAGTAAATTCAAAAATTTTTTATGACGAATATTTTATAAGAATGAGAGAGCTATAACACCCAATGTTAAAAAAACAAATAAAAATTTTAGCACATGAAAAAAAATAACACAAATTTCACATCTCTTAAAATTCGACCAAATAAATTTTATTAAATTCTACATGTCGAATCGATCAAATTAACATACAACATTATGTATGAATTATAACTATAATGGAAGAAATAAAAATAATAAGATATTGACTTAATTATACTAATTAAGCATCTAATTAAATCTTTAATTCCGAATTATTTTTTTCATCGATTCTTTTCCACGATTCTCAGTCGTGGCATGCAATTAAAGGGTTAGGATTAATCGTGAGGGTGAATAAATGCATGGGAAGCTTCAAAATCCATTCCCTTCTCTCTCGATTTCTCAGTTTCGTGCGCTTGGAGATTGCTACTGTAGCAAGCGTGGTTCGCGCGAACAACCAAGAGCTACAACTTACGGCAGGAAGTTCCGGGGAGATTTTGGTAAGAAACTCCATTTTATGATATTTTGGGCATTTAAAACCTTAAACTTCCATTTTGACATGTACTACGAATTCAAACATTCCATGTGTTTCCTATTGTTGTAGCTTTGCGGGAATAATTACGGAATTGTCTAACTAAGATTTGCGTTCTCCGGTATGTCCATTTCACGAGTTGGTAAAGGAGTTAAGTGGAGACGAAGAGGGAACCGAATAGAAAAGTATCGGGAAGGCATATTTATGCCGAGAAACCCTTTCGAGATAAGTTAAAGAAAGAAATCATATTTGGGGTATTAAAAATTCCAGATTTTTTACACTAAGCGATGAGTTCGACGTGAACTTGGGAAAAAGTCGTCATAAGACTGCCCTGTTGATTAAAGAAAAAATTTTATGCTAACTTAAGGAAAATAACTCATTCTAGGTTTTCATGTGATTATGTTGTCATTATTGCATTTAGAATTTTCTGCATATGGTTGATAAATACATGCAATGATTGTATGATAGCAAACTTAATTTGACTCGTACTATATATATGGTTTTATTATGCTATGAATTTGACGAATATATTTATTGCTTGCGGGTATTCATTTACTATGATTCATGCATATGATATATGAAATATCTATGATAAATGTTTGTTACAGGAATTGTGATTAAAGAAATGTCACAATGAAGTTATAGGTAGGTATTATATGAATACTTGCAAGTACAAATGATAGAGAATAATGGGATTCCTGACTTCTAGCAAATAGACGAAGATGAAATTTTGAAAACTGTTGAGGTCAAATGAGGAGAACATGTAGGGAACTGTTAATACCAGATGGGCTATTGAAAACTACTATGTTAGGAGGGACTCGACTTTTATCAATGGTGAATATAACCTTCAAGCTGGGTGACAACCTATGACATGATATAACATGAAAATTGTTGGGGTATATACAACTACAAGTAATATTCCTATATTTAGTATGATGATTTTTATGAATATGTTTATGATTACACATGAAGTGATGAAATACAAATTTTATACAGCAGTCATATTTCTCTGCATTACATGTATTTTTTTACATATTTTATACAATTGCAGCATTTTTTTACATGTATTGTGGACATGTACATGATTTAAATATAAGCAAGCATGTTTTTTTTCTTCTGCAAAATTTTATTTTTGCATTGATTATTTCGTTGAACTTGTTATAGCTCACTCTACGTATTTAGTTTTCAGAAATGGGTATTAAGCACTAGGGCGAGTAGCTAGCTGTGACATGTACAATTTTTGCATTTCATAACTTTGGGAGCTTGTACAAACTTTTGGGCACATACTTGTATTATGTTAGATTTAGCAATTTTGTATATATATGTACAAATGTGTGTGTGTTTGTTTGTGTCGCGTACCCTGGCCTGTTGGTTGGCATCCAAGGTATAAGACCCCTCGGGTCGGGGGTTCGAATCCCATCTGGCACTGCTGGTCATAAAGTGTTACTTGAATTGTTAGGCACAATAGGGATGGTTGGATGC